TTTGGTGTGTTTATCCATTCATTTACTAAATGACATTTTTGTCAATTACCAATAAAGCTACAATAAAGTCTACATTGAGTTTACTTTTAAAAAGTGAATGAAAAAAATACCATAAACAAACTCAAAGTCAAGAAATACAAGGTTAAGAAAAAAATCCAAAATTTTAAGATAAGGCAAAAATATGGTTTGTTCTTTCAATATCACACTAAAACAATGTCTAACAAGCCCACCTTAATGCATGTGATTCTCCAGGACAATGTAACTTTGAATTGCTACTTTCTATTGATTAGGGTTATGACTGTAAAATTAGATAACTTTTTAAAAATTGATGTTACTAATGATTTCTGTCTTGTAGAAAAAAATTCCCCAAGACTATGCCTATATGTCTCTTTCAGCATTATTTCTTTCACAGCAGTCTCTTGAATTCTTCCTTGAATCAGCTTCACATGCTGTTGGTTCCTTTATTAGTGTATCAAATAAATCATTGATATGTCTTCATTATAAGTCTGTCTTAAACTTTTAAAAATTAAATACTTTCCTCAAAGAGCTAAACACAGAATTTCTATGATTCAGCAATTCCAATCCTAGGTATATACCCCCCAAAATCGAAAGCAGACACTCCAAAGAATACATTTGTACACTAATGTTCATAGCAACATTATTTACAGTAGCCAAAAGGTGAAAATAACCCATTTCTATTAACAGATATGTACATGCACACACAATGGAATATTACTTGGCCATAAAAAAGGAATGAAATTCCGATACATGTTACAATGTGCATGAACCTTCAAAACATTACCAAAAAAAATCAAGACTAAGAATAGGTTTGTTCAAAATTATTAGTTAGAGCAGGAATACAGAACAAAAACAAAAACAAGAAACACAAAAATACCTGGGAGGGTAAGCACTTAAAGGACTGGCTAGAAGACCAAAAAAGAAAAAAATCCTAAGAATATGATTTCGCAAAACCAAAAGAACAAAAAAAGCTTTGTGATGGTCAACAGCAGTAAGTGCCACAGATGGTCAAGTACAAAAACAAACAAACAAACAAACAAAACACTGACAACTTTCAGCAAATGAGGAAGCCACTGAAGATTGTCGCAAAAACATTTTTGGTACAGTGGTGTATCAAAAACAAAATTGCAGGGGATTAAGGAGTGAATGGAAGACAAAGTTCTCTTCTATATAAGATGGGGATAAAAATCATACATTCACAACATAGAGTTTTAGGAAGAATTCAGTGAGATGCTATATGCAAAGTACATGAACTGCACCTGGAGATACTAAGTGCTAAAAAACTTTTTCATTTTATTAGGAAATATCCTTTATGTTGTTGTTATTCCTTTGTAATGCTTGTAGAGTGCTTAATATGCTTTTTTTGCTTCAAAAAATTCTGCATGTAGTGTAACATATTTGGGTTTCTCTGTACTGAGATGATCTACCTACAATTACTTTGAACAGTCATTCACCTCTAGATCTCAAATCTCAACACAGTGCTAACATACATTTTTTAGCATCTCCTAAACCTTCTTGCTTTAAGCTGCACCATTGTAACCTCAATACACCACAAAAAAAAAAAAGCTCAAAAGGGTCTCTACTTACTCCAATTGCTATTTTTTTAAATAGAATTGCATCAGAGTTTTATTCCAATGAGCATCACCAAAACTGGAAATTGCCTACTTCATTGGTTCATTCAATGTATCGTCCTGATTATTATGTCTTATTTCATTTTGAAGCTGCTTCAAAGATGCTTTTCTATTAGTTATGAGGTCATATAATATTATGATTCAACACAAGTTCCAGCAAGCTTATGTATCTTTAAGAATATTTCAAATCTTTACAATTTAATAGTTTGGGTTGAACATTCATTAAAAGATAAAAGCTCATTAGTTATATGCTTTGGTTAGTGTTTTATGAGTATTTTCAAATAATTACTAGTTATTGGCATTTCAAATGCTTTATATTAAGATAACCATCTTTGAAAACTATTTTCATTTTCAATTATTCAATCACAGTAATTATAGCTCTATCATTTATTTTGCAAGAAACAAATTCCCATCAGAAACAGACTTCTTTTATGAGTGGGAAATTACTTAATTGCTTTTAAAGTACTTGGTGACAAATACTACTCATTGTTCATTCCAAATAGCACACTATTAATCATTATCTGGAAAAATGGATGGTCTCCAAAAACTTTTAGAACCAATTAACACCCAAATTAAACTATTTCTTCAAGTCAATACAACATTTCACAACAAGACACTATAATCAGTTAAGTTTCATAAATGATATTTTAATATTAAGAACTGTTTATATTTTGTAATGTTGTTAGAATAGTTCACATATGTAATCTTTAATTCATTTGTTTTATTTTCATTATGGCAAAAATTAGCATTCAAATAAATAAAAGAGATCAACTCTTATAGCATCTGGCAGCATTATAATTAAAGTTCTGTCAATAGGGCTATTAAAAGGCTGGTTTGAAAAGGATTTAAAATTTAGCCTCTAGTCAGGTTAAAATTTCATATAAGAATTGCAAGTTAACAGAATGCTTGTAAAAGCTCTTAGGTTATATATTAGTGATTTTTCTCAATATATCATTTTCCAAGGTTTTTAGTTAAAGATTCTTCAGTAACACCTTATGGATAATTAATTTTTCTAGATCTATACACATGGTTCATATCTATTAGGAGTGCCTGCTAGGTGGTGGCATGGTGCCACACTACAAAGGAAACCTCATAAAGAATAGCAATCTGCTGAGTCTGGGTATAAGAAGCGTCCAATACACTTCTATTAAATACAGGAATGACGAAATGCCTTCTGCATCATGTTGACAGTTCAGTTCAGCAAGTTTTCTAGCATTCTTCATACCATTAGTTTAATTTTTTTCATATCCATTAATAAAAATAACCAAATTACTGGGAAGAGAAAACAAAACTTGGACATTTTTCATCTTTCCTCAATGCCTAATACAGTACTCTTACTTGTGAAATTTAATCACCAATGCTTCCAAATAATACAGCTTGAAGAAAAAAGGTAATGTGGAAAGTATTCATAATAAATTGTTCGGTTTCATGTACATACAATAAAAAGGGGTAACTTTGACATAGAGAAAGGAATAAAGTATATTTTAACTACTAAAAACATATATATATATATATATATATATTTAAAAATTACATCCTTAATAGAATTAACCTTAATGAGTGAGAGGTTTAAACAATTACTCAATAAAATACAACTGATTAGTCTGGCATTTTCATATATGGAAAAAGTTATGTTATAATCAGATAATCCTTCAGCTGGACTTGGGAGGAAGTTATATGCAATCAGATAAACCTCTAGAAGAATTCAGAAGGAAAAAAATACCAATAAATGCTCATCAGCATATGTACTAGTTTCTAATTGCCACTGTCATGAAATAAACAAAAACAGTGGCTTAAAGCACCACAAATTTAGTATCTTACAGTTCCGTAGCTTAGAAGACCAAAATCATGTTCACTGAGCTAAAGTCAAGTGTTCTGTCTGAAGGGCTGGTTTCTTTGAAGCATCTGAGGAAAGAATCTGTTTCCTTGGCTTCTTCAGCTTCTGGAAGTCACCTGCATTCCTTGAGTCATGGCCCCTTCCTTGCATGACTACCGCTTCATGCTTCCTGCATCACAGCTACTACCACTGACCCTGATCTTGCTGTCTCTGTCTTACAAGAATGCTAGCAACTACACTGGCTCAACTTGAAGAAACTGGGATAGCCGCCCCCGATCTCCAAATATTTAATTTAATCACATCTGAAATGTCCCTTTTATCATATAAAACAGCATATCCACAGGTTTGAAAAGGATATAAAATTTAGCCTCTAGTGAGATTAGAAATTTCATATAAGGATTGTGATTACTGGTGATTAGGACATGAACATCTTTAGGGGGTTATTATTCAGCCAACAACATTCAGCTATTATTCATCCTGAAGATGAATAACATGAGAAAAATAAATATGAAATCAGTTAATGTTTATGATTTTACGTCTAAGATGTAAAATCTACTAAGATGTGAAACAAAAAATGGGATAAATACGTCTAATATTATTCTACAACAAATTCTATTATTCTATAATACATGCTTTAAAACAACAAAAACAAAATTTAAAGAATAGTAATCTAAGGCAAGTTTTAAGGAAAGTATTTTAAATCTAAATATAAAAATAGATAAAATAAAATTGTTTTAAAACAACAAAGATGAGCAATTACCAAAAACTAGAATCAAGCATTTTTAGTGTATCCCAAATACAATTTTTTTTTTCTTGACAGTCACAGCTGTGCTTTCCAAAAGGAGTTGCAATCTATTATTAAAATAAACAAAAAGTCATGGAACAAAAAGGCATAGAAAGTCTGACAGGATCATGAATTATAGTGCAATAATAATTCAATATAATTACAAAGCATGCCTAAACCAAAGAAAGAAAATGGATTGTATAAACAGGCTTTTATTTCCATGAAAGAGCTCTTATGTATTTCTGATAAGGCAAAGTGTCAGTATATAGATTATGACAATACACCATCCCAGTTTTCCCCACGTAAGTTCAATAGTTCACATTTTCAATTATGAAAATCCTGCTGATTAAAGCCAAAGTTAGGAATTGAATGGAAACTCAACAAATATTGTAAGGATAACTGTAGAACAGATGTCACCTAGCCCCTGACAAATCATTCTTCTCACTGTTTTGAATGCTCTTATTTCAGCTGTCACAAGCTGTAGTACATAAACTGATGGAACTAGAACTGACTGTTCCAGGAACTTCAAATTGGGATGATAACATTTATTCGACGATTTTGGTGACACTAGTGTTTATGTTGGTAAATACCACTTATAGTATTGATAAGTATACCTTACAAAAATGTAAGGTAGCAAAATACAAACGAGCACACAGACATGAGAAATAGGAACTATAAACCTTCACAATGAGGCCATAAAACAGGCTGAAGAAGCATACAACCACAGAGATATGGAAGAACTTAAGGTTTATTAATACAGCTGTAATTTTTCCTCCACTACACAATTATAGTTTGTGAATAATGTGAGATGACTTCTAGTTTAGCCAGCAACATTCAGCATCTAAATTTAGAGAAAACAAAAAGCAGAAAGAATTTTTTTTCGAATAAAATTGGTTAAACTTTCCTGACAATAACATTAATGCCAATAACCTTGCTTGCTTCTTTCTTTGACAATCAACATTATCCACTGATGAAATGGGCTGCCCCTCTTCCTTTAAAAGTTGCCCTCCATCTCTCTGACACCTGACTTGTGGCTATTCATGTTATATCTACTCCCAGGCTCTGTGTTCTGCATTGTGCTTTCTTTAATAAGCACTACCGGCTGAAGCAGAGTGGTTTGAACTTCAGAGGAAAGTACAGGGCAATACTGAAGCTTTTTAAATGTTAAGACTTCCTTTGGCACGATCTCAGCTCACTGCAACCTCCACCTCCTGGATTCAAGTGATTCGCCAGCCTTAGCCTCCCAAGTTGGCACGATCTCAACTCACTGCAACCTCCACCTCCTGGATTCAAGTGATTCTCCAGCCTCAGCCTCCCAAGTAGCTGGGATTACTGGTGAGCATCACTATGCCTGGCTAATTTGTGTGTTTGTGTGTGTGTGTGTCTGTGTGTGTGTGTGTTTTTAGTACAGACGGGGTTCACCGTGTTGGCTAGGCTGGTCCTGTACTCCTGACCTCAAGTGATCCACCTGCCTTGGCTTCCCAAGTTGCTGGGATTACAGGCATGAGCCACTGTGCCTGGCCAGGACTTCCTTTATTTTTGTTAGTTTTGAAGAAATATCCTCTCATAATATAACTCCTGTCCAGACATGAATATCCTTCTGGGTTACACTTTTGAGTCATCACTATTATTTTCTGACCATTGTTTATGACAAATTATGAAGAATAAGTGTTGCCTATTTCTTTTTCCTTTGGAAGATATTTTAATGTTACTCATATAATAACTCATGCTTTCCTAACTAGTAAGCAACAAGGTAATAGAGCATTTGCCTTGAGAAGACTGAGCAAATATATAAAATATGACCGTAAAATGATGTATGTGTACAATTCTACTTTATAAGGGTATATAAAATAAATATTGCTGGAAGCAAAAAAGAATAATTATGATAAAATGGAATATTTACATCTATTTAATGAGTATAGTTCTGATCTTAAACATTTAGGCTATGTCTGGTCAATACAAAGTGAAGGGCAGATTGGTTTTCATCCAGGCTATATGATCAAATAAATAACAAATATAAATAATTTGACTCTTTTAGACAAAGGTTTCCAAAGCTTTCAAAATTACACTCTGTAGTAATGACATTATTCAGTCTGTTATTAAGACATCTAAATGCTCAACATTAGTCTACTGTTTAAATTTGTTCCACCAACCATTTTACTTAACTAAGCAAATAGCAAATTTATTTGTTCATTTATTCATTCACTATTAGCTAATATAAAAAATATTTACTTACGTGTTCATTATTTATTGAGTGACTGTCTTCTGTATTTTATGGAAAATGAAGAAGTAGAATACATTATTGCTAATTTTATGAGTTTTATAGTCGATTAGAGAATAAAAGGAATACATACAAAAATAATTTAATTACAGTATAGAAGCTATTAAACAGGCAAATAATAGAGATGCAAAACCTAGATTGAAAAGAGTGCACAAAGTGAGTAAGAACAGCCATAAAAATTTCTGTTTAGAAGATAAGAGAAGATCAAGAACAAAAAGCAAGGGTAAAGACTCCACGGTGAGAATTTATTGAATATGGTGCCAAGGGTAAGTTCTTGGCTAACTACTGGGATGGGTCTGTGCACAAGAGTGAGAGGATATAATATTAGAAATGATGAAATATTTTATCATAATCATCAAAACTCTGTAAAAAATTATTTAAATATTGCATGTTCCCTGGTATTTTCAACTCAATATAATCATGGAACTACTAATGAGACCTACCAGAATTCCTTCCTGATATTTGGAAGGAATTCAGTATTTATTACAAAATAGATACATTAATGATACCTACTGAGCTATGACACATGCAAAAGAGAAAAAAGATCCTTGCAATAGCTGACCTAACAGTCTCTTGGATCTGATCAGAGGGGCATGCAAGATAAAGAGTGGGGCTGTTTCCTATAGGACGCAATATCTTGATAGCTGTGTTTCAGTATTAGTGTAGTGGTGTCATGCTAGATAACCAGGGTGCATAACGGGGTGTGGAGTCAAATACATTCCTGCAAAGTTTTACCTTGAGAAAATGATATACTTTACTCTTGGAAAATGAAGTACATAGATAGATTAACCACATTTTCAGTTAATGAGTGCTATACTGTCTCGAGTCATATATAGTAGTTTATATTTTATTTCAGAAAGATTTCCTAGTGATTTATAATGCATGTCTATGTTATTTAAATAATGTAAAAAGTCACTGGAAGTGAATTTTGGACATAATCCCCAAATCTTTTAAATAATTATCTAAAATATCTACATGTTGTCCATTATCCAGCTTAACTATATACTTCTACAAATAAATAACACTCGCATCACAATTAAAATATAAAATAGGTGTCATTAATTAAATGTAATATACAATTGCTTTTATACTATGCTATGCTGCTGCTACTACGAATAATGGAGTAAATATTTGAAGTAATTCTTTTACTAGTCTGAGATGGTCTCAGGAAAACTAGACTGTACTCTTGCCATTCTTACTAGGCTTGCAATCAAAGTCTTATATTATTATTTAATAAAATATAAGTATCTCCCAAAAATACAGGAAAAAATCCTTAGGTCTTCTTTCTTTAACCTGAAGTATTATTTCACTGTGTGGTTTGTCAAAAATAACACAAATTTAATATTCTAAAACCTTAACAAGCAAACTGACTTTATCGAACGGCTTTTAAGAGGCTTAGGAAATCTACTATTACTTTATCAAAAACTTTGTCCCAAAAGTCCAACTTATCATGGACAACAGTCAAACCTCTCTCAAACCTCTTTCCTATTCCTTTCAAGACACGAGTCTGCTTGTCACTCCTTCCCAGTCTTCTCCTGCCTTTCCCTGCCCTTTTCATCTTGCTGAGCCATCCTTTCAAGATGTTCACATTGCCCTATCTTACGAAAATCAATTTTCTTATTTGCTTCTTACAATTCTCTGCTCTACATATCACAAAATGAACATAACAGATAAAACAAGGATTCTCCTCAGGAAACTGGAAGAAAAAAACTTGAATACGTAAAACATTTTTTAATGTTCCAACATATAAGCACATTGGAAAACAAAAACTGCTGCCCAAGAGTCTTCATGGCATAAATCCTTTCTCCAGGTTGTATCCAATCACAGCTTTTCAAGGGGAATACATCAACTCTTTTAAGTCCGTAAGTTTTAATGTAACATTAAAACTAAATATGAATTGCAAAATTATGTGGGTGACTGAAATCACTGATTTAACAAAATCTAGAAATGTGGACATTTTATACTAGGAAATGGCAGGCATGTTTTGAGTTGCTCCTTATTCTTCAATTTTTATGTTACTTCACTATCTCCTCTATTGAAATATTTGACAAAATATTAAATTAATTACAATCTTACCATTGTTGTTTCTTGAATGGATCCAAAACTGTTAATAAAAATGTTGACTACTACATCAACAGGAATGCCTATGGATAAAAATTAAGAATATATTTACTAGCTGTAAAAAGCTTGGTCAGAGTTATCATAGTTTTTTGGTTTACACATTTAATTATCATATTTTTTCCAATTCATATGGAATGCAAAATCTATGGTCTCAGTATAACATGTTCATAATTACTATTAACTCATTTTTCTAAATAGGAATCATAATACAAATAAAAAATGAGTTCAATTGTATTTTATAATGTTCTTTTTTTTCAGGAAGAATTATGTGTTAAATTGTAGGGACTCTGCAAAATACATTTACCTTTAAATCTTTTTTTAAATTGCCCTAATACATTTACTTTAAGGAACTACAAATTATTCTTAAAAAATCATTTTGAAAACAGGGTTTAATTTTTTTGCATTTTTCTAATTAGTTCAAATTCTTACTTTAATAGGTAAAACAGTATTCAATAAATTTTACTTATAATTATTACATTTTAATTTTTAATTCATGAAAATGTAAAGCTAATTGGACACACAGCAGAGTCATTATAAAGATTTTTACCTGACCTTTTGAAAAATAATTAGAAAGTTCACGGAGTGAGAACTAAGGTATAACGTTGCAAATTTCTTTCTATTTTTTTTTTTCAACTCATTGTGGCTGCTGGTTGGGCTAACAAAGGGAAAATGTGAATTTAGCCTTTTAGCCACATAACCACTAACTGATGAAAAACAGGTGGTGAATCAATATATGGTAGACATGTGACAACCCAGACCATGGCTGTCGTTGAAAGTAACTGAATAGGTCCCGGTAATGAACAAAAACCCATTTTTACAACATAGTTGTATAACTTCAGTTGACTAGAAGCAGCTGCAGACTTGTTTTTTTCTAAAGGCAAAAAAAAAAAAAAAAAATCAAACCTTATAGTGTTAATCTGATCTACATTAATGCCTGTCCTTAACCAGCAGCAAGGATTATAGTTTTCCAGAGGAGATTTTATTCATACAGCTTTTTTCTAATTCATCAAAAGTACAAAAAAGGTCTATACAACTGTACAATCTGCTCTTGGCTTATTTTATTGTAAGCATAGTCTTGGTTTTTAAAAGGTGTGATAAATGGTAATATCTAATTGGAATAAAAATAATCTATGTTGTAGAATACATAGTCACTTTTATTCACAAAGCCAACATGCTTTTAAAAATCACACAGCCATCATTTTTTCAGCAAAAGAAAAGAAAGAATTTTCTATTAATGTGAAATACTAACAAAATGTAAGAAAGACTCTAAATACACATCAGAACTGTTCTCTTTCCCTAAATAAGAAAATCATCATTCTGCAAATTATAACTCTGGTGTCTGTGAATGAAAGCCAGGTCTATTTCCAGAGCCTAAATTTTAAAGCACTAAGGTTAAGAATAGTACTTAGCAAACTCATTACAGAAGTTAGCCTATTGATTCACAGTATATCCTTTTCTGAATTTTTAAAAACAGGTAACCCATAAAGCAATGAGAATTCATATTTTACTTATCTTTGAATATTTTAGGCATTGAATTGCTCTGAACTTAAGGACATTTTTGTTACATGTCACTTTAAAATCTTACTGTTTTGAATATCAGAACACATATACATATAAAATATCACAAAGTTCTATACATATAAAATTAATGTTTAAACAATAAAAATGAAAATTTATATGGGGGAGACAAACCTTTGAAGTTTGGTCTTATCCTGGGATCATAACTGACCAGTAACCTGTTCAAGATATTGCTAGTGGAGTTGGCAGGTACTCGGGCAAGGTCCTCTGCTGACTGCTGACTATAAGAGAGAGAAAAATCCTGATAAGTAGTTATAAATAGCAAACAACAGAAATGGGTAATTCTCATTGGGAGGAAAGACTGCCTTTTTGAGACAAATCCACAACTATAGTATGGCTTTTTCAAATAGAAATAGAGACTAGTAAACATTGTTAAAAACCCAAGAGGCATTGTTATTTATATATTTATATATATATATATATATATATAAAAACAATTAACTTTACTAAATGTATGAAACATTGCTCTAAATACTCCATGTTACTTTCTATAAAGTAAAATTAAGGAGACAGCTTACTTGTTCTGAAGCAACCTGCCATCGAAATCTAGGTAAGTAAAAAGGAAGTGCACACAATGAGAAAAAAAAACAGCAAAGAATATTTTTTGAAAAATGTGTAATATTAACCTGCCAACACAAAAACGATCTGACCAGAGAGATGGTCTAAGAATTGATAAGACAATCATGCTGACGTTTATAAAATGATATTCCCCAAGAAATACAGTGAACATTTTCCTCACTCAGTAAAATATGGCAGCCTGTGAGGTGGAAGGGAATTGGTAAAAGACTTTTCACTATTATCAGATAAATGAAACAAGTAAAATACTCTATATTATACAGAGCTATAAGAGATAACTAACTACCTATTGCTTTTCTGTATATATTTGTCATTAGCTCTTTATTGAGAAGAGGAAAATCTGCATTGTTTTGCTATTTTAATTAACTTTGAATAATGATAAGTGACAAAATTGGTGGTTGCTTAAGAACCCTTTTTTAGAAAGGCACTTTCTTGGAAGCCAAGGAAAACATTTTGTTGTTTTGGTTTTGGTTTGGTTTATTTTACCCCTCATAAAGTCTTATGCATAATAATTTTTCTCATTACCTACACACACACAAAATCCATGACAATCACAAGGAAGAGTAAAACTCTACTTGGAGCACCTAGCACAGCATTTTCTGTATTGATATGGTAAAAAGTCTCAGTTTCATAAATTACATTAATTTATATGAAGGAAACTTAGATGCAACAGGCTTGGCTTTGTATTGCAATCAAAACTCTATTAGGCATTTCTGAGTTAATTTTCATACAATCTGCCAATAAGAGACAACTATTGTAGGTGAGATATAACAGAAAAAAAAATATATGAAATAATCTAATAATGCTATGAATTGATACAGACAACTCTTTCAAACAGACATTCAATCAGAGTGCAAAGCATTTTAAAAAATGAAAATCAATCAGTTAAACCTCTCAAAAGTGCAGAGATCATACGGATTTTTAAAAACTGCTTCTTGTGGCTTTATTTGCTCCAGTGTCACAGCTTCATAAACTTGAGGGCTGGTAATTAGATTTTCCATTTCATTGCAGGTAAAACTATAACTTCTTTACAGCCAGTTGTCATCCTCTATCAAAAGATGGAAAACTCTAAAGAGAATGAGGGTATGTGGGAAAATTGGATATTAGGATGCAAATTAGGGTTCAAACCTATCTACAAGTTTTCTCATTCAAGGGAAGAAAAATAATTGATTGATTACAAAATACACTTGGATCAATTCAGAACTGTTATTATTGTGTCTCTTCATATAAAATCCTTTACAAGTATATTCCTTCTAAGTAATGAAAAGACAACATGAAGACAATTAACACTAAATTTTGTAGTTTAGAACTTTCCAGCCGATTTTTCTGCTTCTAGCTGTAGGCTGTGTCAGTCAAACTCATTTTTTAGCCCTTTATCTCACTACCAGATTTTGTCCTTCTTCCACAGAATCAGTCTCTCTTCCTGGAATATTGCAACTTCCATTCTTTATTGTACTAATCGAAACCAAACCTGTCCTTTTCAACTTCATCTTCTTTGTAAAATCTTGCCTTAACCTTGCTAATGAACATGAACTAATAAATATATTGCTTGGCAATGATTTTGTAGCTTTTCTTTTCTTATCTATGGGTATATTACCAACTAGACAAAATGGAAACAGTATGATTATTGAGGGACTCATGGTTTCTATATATTTGTACTTCCCTAGTCTGTTTTTATAGTATTAAATACACATTGGTTCAAGTACTTCCAATCTGCCATCTCTTCTAGGTATATTTCAGCCTCATGTTGCCTGTGCTGTAAGGGGTAAGCAGTTCCACTCATTTCCAGAGGAAGAAGAGCATTTTGTCCTGGGGTACTCTCTTAGGAGAAATGACTTCCCCCACCCTCATAATCTTCCCAGTATTGACCATTGCTGAACTAATTACTGGCAAGGAGGAAGAAACATTCATGATTGGCTCAGATTAATATTCTGGTGCAGAATGAATATTGGAGAATCAACCATTATGTCCACTACATTCTTTCATTTGATAGTCATGTTCACGCTATTAAACAGAAGAGATATTAACCACACAGAAAGCTGTTATTTCGAGGGAGAGAATGGTAGAAAAAAATTGGTACAAGAGTAAGAGGTAAGTAAATGGACCTGTAGAGTACATGGTATATAAAGAAACTAAGACACAGCAAGGTTAAGAGATTTTTCTAAGGTGGTAGAGCCAAGAATGAAACCTGCTCCATGGTAAGCCTGCCATAGTGTAAGTGAAATATTATCTGTCTTGTTATTATGATCCATACACATATTGCTTTAGGGCATATATATTTTACCCTGGGTTCTATTCATCTTACTAGGCATTGTTAAAAATCATTAGTACTGAAAATATAAATTGGCCCTTTCTATCAGTTCATTCTTCCACCATCTTCAAACGTTTTTGCAACTCTCCACAGTTAAAAGCAAATTCTTGTTTGTTAGCAACAAAAACTCAACATTGCTTGACAAAAGTCTTCTGAAAATCAAACAAGCAAACCAAAAAAGAAAAAACCAAAAACAAAAACCCAGGGAATATACCAAATATCATATGGCCCCTTTTCTTCTATTCTTATTTGCGTCAATATATATTTTCATGTTTCAGCTGCAGGTAACTTGGCATGAATGTTTAATCAACAGTTCACATTTATTTGTATTAGAAATGAAGAGATGTTTTAAATTTTAAATAAAATCCCATGTAGTTTATATTCACATGCATGAACTCAGTGTTTTCCCACCTAAAAAAAGTAAAAATCATATTTTTAGCTTATCAATAATAACATTAAAATTATCTCTACAGACTAAAATATA